CATCAGACAGAAATGTTCAGTAATAAACACTCTGGACTTTTCTTTATTTTAAAGGAAAATATCTCCTTAAGCAGATGTTGCTGTTTGTGTATTCTACAAATCCAGGACTAAGCACATACATTCGGAGAATTAAACACAGTTACTGTACATTGTATATTTAGAATGAAAATGCAAGTAAGACGAAGATTTTACTCAAGAGAGTTTTGTCCATCAAATGGATGTATAATGAATGCTGTCAAATGCTTTACGTATGTGAAGACAAAATGGTTTGTAACAATTTTTACAACTTGCAAAATGCCATATAACAATCTTGATAGATTTCACTTTTTTTTTTTTTTTTTTTTAATTTCTACTAAACTGAAGAGAAAGAAGGCAGATTCAAGTCACAGACAACTCAGACACATATCTCAAGAAGATAGAAGAACTACCTAAGAGGAAAAACATTTCCTATTTTTGGCCTTTTTATCAGTATTTACAATAGGTTTTTGAATATTTCTTTCAGCATCTAAAAAATATGCCTATATGAGAATGAAAACTATAAATTTAAAATAAAGTTAAAATGAAATCTGCTTCGAGAAATATCTTGCTAGAAATAAAATGAAATAAAAAAATAAATCAAAACAAAAAATCGCAGAAACACAAGGATGTCTCCAAAATAGCTACTTCATGTAGCTATGCTATATGGCATGAGTGTGAAATAATTATATATATATGTAATAAACCACATTTGCTAAATGGTATTTGTGAAGCAAAGAGGATTATTGCAATGATTTAAAATACATTAAAGAAAAGGAAAAATATGCAACATGAATATATAAGGAAGAATGACTGGAGGCCTCAACTGTATATTTCAAAAGGTTAATTTTTTTAATATTTCTGTGGCAATAGAAGAGATCTTTCTAAAAGTGTCTATACAACAATAAAATAATTTTTAATATTGCATGATACAGCTTCATAATGAACATTACCTGTTTACCACCAGAGTACTTTTGGCAGCAGGTTTTATATCTAGTCATAAGATGAATGAAAAGCACATATATAATATCAGTGCTTCAGTAAATTGACAATTCCATCACTTTTTAAAATGACCTACCACGTTTTTATGGAAGAATTCATGTTCATGCAACTTTTCATTTCTTTTTTTTTTCCTCTGTATTTACTTAAAGACTGGGATTCAGTAAACAAATAACTAATCTAGGACCTTGAGAAACTAGTCTAGGGTTATTCCAGAAGTAATATATAGCAGTGGTTTTGGATCATGGTTACTGTAACACCTTTTGTTTTCTTTTTCTGCAAATTCTCATTTCCCTTTATTATTCTAACTGCTACCTAGTGAGTCAGGCTAGAAAACCTCAGGAGAAATTAATCAGTATTCTGACATCATTACAACACTGCTTGATTATGGATACCAATCTCCACTTGCTGCATATTTTCCTGCTCATAATCCATAGCACCATCTAATATAGAACATATACATCATATTCTACCACTTGGCTTCTGCTCTATATTTGGGATTCCAGGATGGCTGCAGGAAGTCAGAGCTTAATCATTCCTAAAAATTGCTGAATGTCCAGTTCTTGCAATTCTCATTTATTTCAGTTACTCATCCTCCTCTCTGTGTGGATTTCTGTATACTATTAAATTATTAAATACTGCTAATCCAAATTAGAGAAGTCATTGTGATGATATTAATGGGTAAAGTGAATGGAACATTGTCAGCACTATACACCCGCAACATATTAATGCATCCCATTCCATTAATGCAGACATGCTGAGAAAATGTGTTTCTTATATGTGCTTTTAAAATTAAATTTAAAAATGAGCAAAGGTGTGTGGAAACAGAGATTTAAATTCTTTTAGTTTGTCTAGGAAATTAAAATTACAGATTCATCTAACTTTAATACTTTCCTCTCTGTCCATTTAGTACTATGGTGCATTAATTTCTCACATCAGGCAAAATTCCAGTTGCTGTTCTCTGGAGTTTAATTATCACTTCATTTTTTATGGAAAGGAAGATAATTATAGAAGAGACTTCAAAACAAACATAGCATGCTAGGCTACTCTTTATGTGATGTGCCATACAACCTTCAAATGTTCTCATAATATTTGCACTTAGCCACTATTTTATATGCTGGTTAATAAACTGCTAATTTGTTTAGCTCATCCAATTATTTGGAACAGTTTCACATTTGGTAGCAAACACCAGGAAGTATTAAAAATATATCATTATGAATTTCAACCACCCATAGCAGTCTTTCAGTGAAGAAAGTTGTGGGGGAATAATAAATTACTAATTCTTTAGGAGCAATAATACAACATCAGCATCATCTCCCACCTCAGTTCTTTATGAACTCAGTGACTCTTCAAAACAGGGAAACTGCACTCAGGTCTCCTGAATGGACGTGTGGAAACAAGACTCACTGCACATAAAAGCTAGTCAAGAACACAGCAGGATCACAAGAGGGATGAGCCGAACAGATGCAAGCTGAGACGGCACAGCTGCAGAGCCTGGGTTACTGGGAATACATATTGCATCAGCTGTAACACAGGCTCCTGCTATGCAGATGCTCCTCTGCCATACCAGTCCATTCTCAAAGCAGTTTTTATCTGCTGAAAATGTGTAAAAGTCCTGCTAGTTTTCAGTCAGAGAGTGCATCAACAGAGGGCTAAACCTCTGTTGCTCTGTGTTTTCTCCTGCTGCTACTGAAATGAACTGCTTCTGCCTGACCTGAATCTGCAAAATAGGCTGTGTGTTGATGTGGTAAGGGTGTTATGCTTGTGCTGTCATCCTAAATATTTCTGTATATTTATTGAGGAACAGATATTAATAGTAAATAAGAAGAAATACAGCTGCACCCAAATTGGATTTATTATTGAGGATTATTAGCTCATTTCCTACCTGAATATTTGTATTTCTTGTAATTTTTCCTAAGAGGAAATTTTTTTTTATCATTCAAAGACAACGTTCCATGCACATCTATGACTAACATTTAGCTACATAATTGTTCATAACTGTTAAAAGGACAAAAATAATCTGTAGCTACTTTAAGAATATATATATATATATATATATATACATATATATATATATATGCATTGGTTCTTTCATCAACAATTTCTTATTGTCACAGAATCATTGAACAGTCTGGGACTGAAGCGACCTTCAAACCCAAAAGATCATCTAATTCCAGCCCCTGAGCCATGATATAAATACCTTTCACTGGACCACATTGCTCAAAGCCTTCTCCAGCCTGGCCTTGAACACTTCCAGGCATGGGACAGCTTCTCTGGGCAATATGTGCCAGTGTCTCACCACTACCTTCAGTAACCAATTACTTTCTAATATCTGATCTGAACCTACGACCTCAGTTTAAAGTCATTGCTGACTGTCCTATGACTACGTGCCCTTGTAAAAACTGTCTCCAGCTTTCTTGTTGGTGCCTTTAGATATTGGAAGGTGGATTTTTATAAGGTCTCCCTGGAGCCCTTTTTTCCTCTGTGGTGAACAGTCCCAGCTCTCTCAGCCTGCCTTCACAGGAGAGGTGCTCCAGCTCTCTGATCAACTTTGTGGTCCTCCTCTACACTCATTCCAGAAGATCTGTGTCATTATGGGATCCCAGAGGTGAATTCAATACTCCATGGGGGGCCTCAAGAAAATGGAGTTGAAGGGCAGAATCACAGTCACAGAGTCACAGAGTTACAGAATAAGCTGAGTTGGAAGGGACCTACAAGAACCATCCAGTCCAACTCCTGGCCCAGCACAGCACCATCCCCAAGAGTCACACCACGTGCCTGGGAGCATTTTCCAAACACTTTTTGAACTCAGATAGACTTTGTGATGTAACCACTTCCCTGGGGAGCCTCTTCCAGTGCCCAATCACCCTTTGGGTGAAAAAACCTTTTCCTGATATCTGATCTAAACCTCCTTTGACACAGCTTAATTCCAAAAGCATGAAGCTGCCTCGACTTGCTTGTCATGTTTCTCTTGATGCCACCCATTTATTTTCACACAGGCACAGATGTCATACATTCTAATCACTGGTACAAGTTGATGGAAAAAACATGAAATGGCATTTTGCAAACAATATTGACTCAGCTATTTAGGGAAACAACTTCAATAACAGCACCTAGGCAAAGAGTTGTGAAATATTAAAAATATAATTTTATACTATATTTTTTAAAAGTACAGTTTATTTTATATTAGAATTAGTGTTTCTGAAGGTATAGTCTTCAGTCTAAATATATACATGAAAATTTAAATGCTGTGGAATTGTTTGTGAATATCACCAAAAAAATTATAAAGCCTTTTTGAGTATATAAACTTGTAATATAGCTAGCTTTTAGTTCAAATATTTTGTTTCACTTCATTCAAGAAATCAGTGGATTTAATTTACCAGAAATGAAAGCACAACCTATCATCATAACTCTTATTCCAAACAAATAACAAAAAAAAAATGCTTTGATAAAATTTGCATGGTAATTTGAGGATAATTTAACCTTCCTTTATCTGTTGAAAAACTAGCAATCTAGTTGAAGTTGGTTATCTTTCTTCTCTAAAATACTTTAAAATTTCTGCATTGGAAGACTCATGAATCACCATTAATATTTTAGACAATTGCTTAAGAACCAAATACATTGCATAGCTAACTGCCATTTATTAAAGGTTAAAAAAACTGAGAAGTATTTGACTTATAATGGAAAAACAAATTCTAGAAATCTACAACTAAGGTATATTACTACCATTCTAGTTTTTTTGTTAAATTTCTCTCTGAAAATTGTAATAATACAACTGTAATAATAAAGAACTCAAAACTCAGTTTCTTTTCTCTAAGTGTATTATGCTTTTCCTTAAATATAAGTAGATTTTCATTGGACCAAAATCTTGGCAACATTTCTTGACTGATTTAGGCATCCCTCCACCATGGTGAAAGCTATTTCACCATTTGCTGACAAAGAAAATATGAAGTATAACTCATAAAGCAACAAATATCCTATAATACCTTTGTTGTTATCCATTCCTCCAACAGCATATAGTGTTCCAACTGTAGATTTTCTAGGCTTAGTTCTTGGACTTTGCATGAGAGTTCTTCTTTCTGGTAAAAGATGATATTTCATGGCTTCCAGAATAAGCTTCTGGCATTCTAGGTCATCCTTAAAAAGTGCATGGTTTTCCAAGTCAGCCAATATCTGTGAATGACAATAAGTGAATAAAACATCCTAGAAATTCCTAGCAAAGCAATACCATGCAATGAGAGACAAATACAAATGGAGGTCACAAGTATATTTCTTCATGCCAGAACACACATATAGTTTTGCAGGGCTATTTTTTCTTGGAACACAGAAAATTAATCAATTAGTTGATTTTTAAAGGATTTTAAGACCATTTCATTAAACCTTAAGACTACAGTCATATTAATCTTTTACTGAAGGCTTTGAAGAAAACTAAATATTCTCGTGTAGGCTGACTTATTTTTAATGGTTTCCAGCATAACACTGAAAGAACCCAGAAGGCATCTCTTTGCAGGAACATCCCTTATTTTAAAAACCAAAGTGAAACAATGTTCCCACTTGATAACCAACAATCCTCAGCACATACAGGTAAAAGAATATTCTATTGTGATTCCAAAGAAGGAGGCTGCAAGTTGTAAATGTTGTGTTTGATTCACTTGCCTGTATATACGTATCTACTAGCTTTTAAGAGTCTGTAAATTACCATGTAAATTTTCAGGATCCCATTGAATTATGTAATCTGGGTTAACCTCACAGTTGACCTAGCTCTGGGCAGGACTGTAGAACTCCTGAGGCCTGCTCCCACCTAAATGATTCTCTGATTCTGTGATCTCACTGATGTCAGGCCAGAAGAGTGCAACACTCATGCAGATTTTGTGCCATATCTGCCAAACCCATGTAGGTATCTCAGATAGCCTAAGGCATCTAAATTAGAGCAAGATTTAATTGCATATAACTGCATATCTGTACAGTGCAGTAAATTTCTAGATATCATAGGATATCTATCTGGAAGATCAAATAATACTCAGAAAAGCAGCTAAAGACCAGCAAGCAAGAGAATTTCATTCCTGGAGTCTGAGGATGCCTTCCCACAGACATAAAAATGCAATTCTATTCAAATTATTTTGTAGTTGCCTAAAGACAGGAAGCTAAATTCCATTTATGAACTCTTAGCTATTTCATCTGGACTTCAATAGCTGCAGAAGAAGTTTGAATGTCCTTTGTCAATCTGTCAGCCTTTGGCAGATAACACGTTTTCTGTTGTCTGCTTCTGATTTTAGGCATTAGTCATGAAATGAATCTGTGGTTGAAAGAAAGACAATGCATGTTACATTGCCTCAGTATCAACTGGGATGAACAGCTCAAGACAAGACCCCAGAAGGGCTTGGTGGTGCTGATAGATGAGAGGCTGGACATGACCCAGCCATGGGCACTCACAGCCCAGAATGACAAACGTGTCCTGGATTGCATCCAAAGCAGTGTGGGCAGCAGGGAAAGGGAGGGGATTCTGCCCCTCTGCTCTGTTCTGGTGAGACCCCACCTGCAGGGCGGCATGCAGCTCTGGGGTCCCAGTACAGCAAGGACATGGAGCTGTTGGAGCGAGTCCAGAGGAGGGATACCAAGATGCTTAGATGGATGTAACAGCTCTACTATGAGGAAAGACTGAAAGAATTGGGATTGTTCAGCTTGGAAAAGAGAAGGCTTCTGGGTGACCTAATTGCAGCCTTCTAGTACCTCAAGGGAATTTACAGGAACGACGGGGAAAGACTATTTACAAGAGCATGCAGTGGCACGACTAGGTGGAATGGTTTCAAATTAAGAGAGTAGGTTTAAATTAGATAAAATGAGAAGTATTTTTACTGTGAGGGTGGTGAGGCACTGCAACAGGTTGTCCAGAGAAATTGTGGATGTCCCACCCCTGGAGGTGCTCAAGGCCAGGCTGAATGGGGCTTTGAGATACCTGATCTAGTGGAAGGTGCACCTGCCTTTGGTAAGGAGGCTGGAATGAGATGATCTTCAAGGTTCCTGACAGCCCAAACCACTCTATGATTCTATGATAAAGGTTTCTGTGTGGGAGGATGGATTGTGAGAGTGCTGAAGGCAATCTCACCCCAGAGGAGTTGCAGCTGTACTAATTACCAAACAGTAGGAACAGCCTTGACCTTAATAGGTCACAGCTGTGTCAAATAAGGATGGGTAAGGATGGGTGTTATAAAAGAGTGGATTAGCTGAAATCAAGAAGACAGGTGGAGTTAGTTGGCTGTGCTGCTGTGCTGTGTAAGGGTCAGGCAGTTGCGCTAAGAACAGTAAGGGTTAGTATGTGCTGCAAGGAACAGGAAGGAGTCAGCAGGTTGTGCTGAAGGAAGAGAAAAGGAGTCAGTGCTGCCTGTGAAAACTCACAGAGAGAAGGTATGAAAGTTTTACAGTAGGATAATAAACTGATGGTTACAGTTCCCATCCATGCTGACTGATGTCAAGCACCGATACCAACATTTCTGTGTATTGTGTGTGCCTGTTCTGGCTATTATTCAGTTAATATTACTAAGTAAGGATATTAAAAGTATGCTTAGAAATGGGGGTGGTAAGGATATTTCATAACACTAGGTTAATTTTTGATATCGTAATCTTAAGATTTTTCATATGTTCTTTCCTTTACAATGTTCAGCACAGTGCTCAGTAAACTAAAAATTCAAAGATCTGAAGACAAATCATGTCCAGATTTTAGGCAGGATGATTGCAAAATGATTTAACACACATTTAGGACTACAGAACCAGAGTACTCTATCAACATTAAGTAAACAAAACACAGGTGCAAGAGAGCTAAGAAATCAAATTAGAAGTTTTCTCTGCACAAATTTGAGGCAATATGAAGTTACATAGACTTTTTAATGTTTAATGTCATTAATGAAATTGATGACAAAGGTTTTTATGGCGAGCTTATTATATCAGTAAGGATCAAAGTCCAACAATAATATTGATGCTTTCTCTTTAGACCATTTCTCCTTTACCCAGAAATGCTTAGGCTCTTAAAGCAAACGTTTGTCTTTGAAATCTTTCAACTGAATTGCCAGGTGTTTCAAATAAAGAAGAAATAATCCGTGAACACCATTTTGTCCCAAAATTCTGAGACTTAATTCATCAACCATAATAAAAGCTGATTCTCTTATTCTTTCAAGTTTGAAATTCACCTTAAAAATAAATAGAAAATGGAAAAAAAACCCAGAAAAAATACAAATAAAAATTTTAAAGTGGATAGAAACATTTGTTTGTGTCCCTTAAAAAAAACTCATTCCTCCTATTAACTTTTCTTGAACATGGGCTAACCTGTGATGAACACTATTTCTGAATCGCCTAAAGGCTAGAAGTTGTGAATAATAAAAAAAAAAAAAAAAAAATTGAAGCTACTATTTAGAAACCAGAAGTTATAGAAAGCTGTTTCATGTTGTCTAAATTTCAATAATCTGCTTCAAAGATTTCTTACTCCATAGTTATCTTTCCTGGTTATGTCACAACAATCAATATATTTTTATTAAATCAGGATGCACTTGATCAGGAAATTCAGTTAATAAGGATGTTTCCCTGGAAACCATATTATGTTCAGCTTGTTCTTCCATGTCTATGACATAATTAATTAAGAAAGAATTGTATCTAATAGCAACTGAGTATTGCTGGGCTTTGTAACATGGAAAATCACAGAGCTGTAGCTTCTCAAAAGACTACAATATCAGTGCCAGAAGAGTTAACTTTACCATTGCTAGAACTTCTCTGAATAGCAATATCCTGAGAATTTTTTGTCACTTTGTGTCATCATGTTTCTCATTCTCTTAACTCTTTCTATTAAAGTGCTATATCTTGAAAGTAAAATGCATTGCAGTTAAAAATTATTTTCTGTCAATTTTTGCATTCTGGGGTATTATCAACAGCATCATTTATTATAAAGATCCTGATTTGCAAGTATATTTTATATAAAGAAAATGAAAATATTTAAGCATTCCCTCAGTCTCCCCTTTAGCTTTTAAACAATGAAAAAAACTGTAGAACTTGTTAACTTTTCTGGGGACTTCTAAACGTAGAGAACACAAGGTCTCAAACTGATCCTGTGTGTAGCTGAAATTTCAACTCCATTTCTAAATGCCATTTTATCCATATGAATCTTTGCAATATTACTAAACAATCTTTTTATTTTTTGCTAGGAATTGAATGTATTGAACTAAATATAGCATAACCATCTGCTTTGCTCACATGACTTGTAATCAGGAGCCTTATATTGAGGTTTTTTTAAAAGCTAATTTCTAATTTATTGTTGGAGGTTTTGCTAGCTTTTAAAACAATAATTTCAATATTTTGTCTTTGAAATAAAAGAATGAAAAATATCTGCAATTAATAATACCTCAAATTTAGCACGTCTCATTTTGTTGTCTACCATCTTTTTTCAGTTCATTGAGAATTCTGTATCTCTTTTAAATTATTTTTTAAGTTCAGGTTTAATTAATGATTTCAGTAAAGTGTTTTTTTTTTTTGGTTTGTTTTTTTTTTTTGGCATGGAGATTTCCAGGCATTTTTCTGTAGTATGACAAAGATTCAGAATGTGGAATTCAATATTTGTGTTGCTGATGGACTAAATTATTCATGATGTGTTAGTCAAGCCAGCTGCTCAACCAACTCAGGAAGAAAGACTACACTAAATCCCTCAGATTTCTGTATTCTCAGACAAAGATTATTTTCTCCTCAGCAATAAATTGCAGCAGACTAAGGATCTTTAAGAAGCTCTAGATGAGTTCTTCCTAGAAACATGTGGTAATCATTTCTATTATAAATAATGTACATCAGGATTTGCTGCTTAGACACCAGAGACTTTCATTAGTGTGACTGCAAGTCTGTGATGTCCATGTGCATGTAGGTGATAATATATTGCAAAGAGATCAGTCACATAGCAGTAGCAATGATTAGTCTCAGACTCCATTTTTGGAAAAAAAAATCTAGTTGCATTTTCTGTCAGAAATCCAAATTCTGGCATCGACTGAGCTTGCATTTTTGATGACCATAGTCAATGGCAGAGGAAATGGGTTCAGTATTTGATTTGCAATTCCTTTTTCCCAACGCATTAAATATTATTTCATATTCAGAAAAAAATTAAACTGGTTTTCTACCCTTCAGTTATAACAAAGTCCTCCCTA